GGAGGGGGGAGAGGGTGGGTATATACATACATAATGAGTGAGATGTGCACCATCTGGGGGATGGTCACGCTGGAAACTCAGAATTGTAGGGGGGAGGGGGGAAAGGGCATTTTTTATACCTTAAAATTTGTACCCCCATAATATGCTGAAATAAAAAATAAATAAATAAAAAAGAAAACATCAACTGCTATGCCTATGTTTATAATTCTATGTAATACTATGTTAACAAACATGAAATATAGTATGGAATGATAAAGTAACTAAAATATTTTTTAATTCTAGTAATTGTATGAAAAAATCCATGTATTCTAAAAACTCATTCTACAGAGGCCAGATAAATGAAATATAAATATAAATTTTTAACGTGTTATACTAGTTTAATAAAAGACATGTTGCAGTCATCCCAATAAAAAAAAGAATAGCCAATGTGTCTTGTTCTTTCACCACAGTCAGAATTCCAGGATAAATCATGGAGATAGAAGAGAACAAGTGATGATCAATAGGCTTGTCAATATTTCATTGTCAGCTGTTGTGGCTCTGTTTAGTATGGGGAATCATATAATCTTAAATGAATATCAATTTGTTGGCAGGTAGACACTGTGCTAGACATCAGTAGATTTTCTGTGGCCATAGAGAAGACTTTGTGAGCTTAGGTTTCCTATCAGATAACCTTCATGAACCAGATAATGTAGTCACATGGAGAGCACCAGGCAGACATCATGTGAAAGAAACTGAGTAGAGAAGGGAAAAGGCCAAGAAGGCTCCACTGTTTGAAACTCTACAGGAAACCCTGGGGCTATACTCTGTTCCATCCACACCACAGTGGAAAACAGCTGTTCACTCTTCACTGCTGAGCTTCACCTTTGCGAAGAAAATGGCCTTCTCTTAGTTTTGGCCCAAAGTTCCTGTAGAGTGTGCTTTCATTGTTTGCTAGTGGGTCATCCTTCATGTTCTCAAATGAGGCCTGTTTCACCACGCCATCCAAAGTCTCCTCACTCAGGTCTTCACCCAGAAATTTGCAGAGTTTTAACACAGAACTTCTGAGATCCTGAAATAAATCACAGTGTGATAGATTATACAAATTGTTGGAAGGGAGAGATATGCAGGTATCACAGATAAATATCATTGCGGGAGTGAAAAATGTAGGTGCTTCAACTGGTATTCAGTTTGGAGTTGGACAGTGCAACTTGACTTTCTTCTTCCATACTGGTAAATATTTCATTTATCTGCTGTTTGAGAGTTTAATTAGGTTAATTGCACATTTTTCATTTTCTCTGTGTTCACTTAGCAAAGTTTCTACTTTCAGGGACTCTCCTGGGTGACATGGGGATGGGAGAAAATCAGTGCTGGGAATTGAGTCCAAGATCTAGGGAAAGGGACTGATTGTGGAATGGAATACAAGAAAGTTACAACAAAGAAGTGATATTACTCTGGGTCTTAAAGGAAAAATAGTAATTTTATAGGTAGACAAAACTGGAGATATGCAGTGTGAACATAAGAAAACAAATACACAGTACTGTAGTTGTATGGTATGTATGAGATATCAGGCAACAAAACATTTAGAAACCTGGTACCCTCAGATTGATGGAAACAGACCTGGGATGAGAAAGTAGGAGACATACCTGGAGAGATGGGCGGGACCAGACTGTAGGGAGGCTTCAAATTGGCCACATCGACTCAACTAGACACACACATTAGACTCAACTTTGGCCATTGAAACAGAAAGAGGAAGTCAAATGTAAGAAATTTTTGAGATTGACTTTCATCTTGGAGCAAAGCTGAGAGTAAACAAGAGAACCAGTCCCTCTAACCAACTATCTTATAGTTGTGAGGATTGATGTCACTGATATAGGACATATGACAATATGGAAAGGTAGAAAATGTTTGAAACATTCATAACACCCTTGAGGTGCCATGCCCAGCCTCAGGATAGCCAACCTCTACATCTCAGTTACTAAACAATAGACATTTTTGTATATTAAGCCACTTATAGTTGACTGTCCTGGGAGCCAGATTCTCACAACAAAACATAAACATTTTCTTGTTTATGTAATATTTTTTATCTTTTTTCATTACACACCATTCTGTTGAAGGATGGCTTTCATGGATTCCAGTGAGTGGGCTGCTCCGCTAAGTACGATTTTTTTCATTTAATTTTTCATGCAATTCTTAACTAAAGACAACACAGATAAGGTGAGTGATACCAGAAAAAAAGCCTCATATTAAACTTAATCTTGGATCTCAAATTCCACATCATTTTCTGTGTGTTGTGGTCATGAACAATGATTAAATAGTCCACACTGGGTTAGAGCTTACATAAAACACAAATGTGATCCCATCTCACCTTCTTCATCTCTTCGTACATCATGAACTGAATATTGAAGTTGTTTCTGTGCTCGTACCAACCTCTGACATGGTCAAACCAAAGGCCTCCTACCACTGGGGGAAGAAGAGGTAAGTAATTAGGTAAATATGTTGAGTGGGTTGAACAGATTATGACCTGTAGGAATCTCGAGGAACCAAAAAGGAAACAGATGTCTGTTGGTAGTTTCTAGATTTTCCTTGCCACATGTTTATTGGGGAAGCATTTAGCTGCCACCAGGGAAGAATTTTACAAAATCAAAAACAAGTTAGTGTTTTAAAATGTAGTTTTTATGAACAGAAAAGCAGCCTAGAGTGAGGAAAGACAAAAATGGAGAGCTGTTCAAGGAATTATTCTTCTCCATGGTACTCCTCTACCTGTCCCCAAACACAGAGAGAGAGAGAGACATTTCTCCTCTCCAGGTGCCAACGTAGAGTCCCAGAGGTGTTATTTTAGCTTTGCCTAGTGGATAATTGCCTAAGCTTAGGCGTCCTGTGTGATATTATCATCTCTGTCTCTGCAGGCCTTGCTCCTTCTCACCCAGTTATGTTAGATCCTTAGAAAAACAAATGGGAAGGGAATTCTGAGACAGAGTCCTCTGGGAGGTGCCACATGTAAGATGAAATGACAAAGCAGTAAAGCAGTTGTGATCTCAACTGAGCTCCCTTCTTAGCTGAGATAGAACAGACACCTCCGTGTTAGGGAAACACTAATCTGTCTTCACTCTTTTCATGGTAAGTGATTTTGTAATCTAGGCAACCTCTTGAGGATGGTTGAGACTAGAGGAATTGGCATGAATGGCAGGACTTGGTCCTTCTAGAAAATCATTCCAATGGGTTGATATATTGACCACTGTCTGCCACTCTACTCTATTTTCGCCAACCTCTTCCCCCCCCCCATATTCATAAAGCCCAAAAACTCATCGCGACACAGCAAACATAGTATTTGGATGTTAATATCAGTTACCTTTCCCTTCCAAAAATTGTTTCATAAATGCCTCAATGGTGTCTACAGCTTTAAATATTGGATAAGTGTTTACATAATGAAAACAAGAGCACATAACATCCTTAGGGTTTCTGTATATGTATACAATCTGCAAAAAAAGAAAAGAATGATGGTTTCTGATGCTTTAATTTATCATATTTTCTTCAGAATACATTTCAATTGGGTTAAACACATTATTTTTAGCTTTCATAATTCTCTGTCCTGAACATTCACAGTTTCTCCTCTATACTTAGTGCTTCCCCTGCTCTGCAACACCAGATACATCTCAGAAGTTACTTCTTCTTGTCTCCCCGAGGCAGAAAGAGCAATTTCGCCCCAAAATCAACTGACTCACTAATGCATGTGAAAATACTTCATTAAAAAATATGAGAGAATAGCAACAATTTACTAAAATGGTTTAAACTCAAATTATAAAATTTATGGTTTGCTTTAGTCATCTTTTAATATAAGGTTTACCTAATTTTTATTTGTATATCCTTATTGAATCAAGCACAAGTGATTGGCACACAGAAGTTACATTCTAAGTATTTTTTTGCTTTCAAACTATCAATAAGTAGAGAATTTGATGGGGTTTTTTGTTTATTTTTTGTTGTTTGGATTTTTTTAGGCTAGTCAAGTGAAACAGTGGGAATGGATAAGGAACCCAGGAATCGTTTATTTGTTGTAATCAAATATTTGTAAACACCTCTGCACTCAGATAAGCCTAGGAGATTTGTTTTTTAAAATTGTCCACCATAACAAACAAATTAATTCTGAATAACAATTAACCAATCCAATAGTATTTAAATACAAAAGATCATCAATATCTACTCTGGCTGATTCTATATCTGCACAGAATATTCAGGTGCTCTGGATAAAATTGTATGCCTATATCTTTGTTTTTATTTTTATTTGTTTATTTTTTGAGAACAGAATCTCTCTCTGTCACCAGGCTAGAGGGCTACGGTGCTGTGGCATCAGCCTAGCTCACAGCAACCTCAAATTCCTGGGCTCAAGTGATCCTCCTTCCTCAGCCTCCCATGTAGCTAGGACTACAGGTATGCACTATGATGCCCAGCTATTTTTCTATTTTGAGTAGAGATGGGGGGTCTCACTCTTGCTCAGGCTGGTCTCTAATCCCTGAACTCAAACTATCCTCCCACCATGGCCTCCCTGAGTGCTAGGATTACAAGCATAAGCCATCATACCTGGCCATATATCTTTGTTTTTAAATTAAATGTATGACTTTTGTTGCTCCTCTGTGAAAACTTCCAAGTTTGGTACAGAGAAGCTAGCCCCTAATGCTGTGAGATGAGATGATGGATGCAGGGTGCATCTGATCCTGATTCTCCTCATCCCTGAGTAATCTCTTAATGCAGTGAAGTACAGTCCTTCACCCATGGGTTATCAACAACGGTTGATATTGGTGGAAATGAACAAATGCTTCTTCTGGGCTTGAGAAAAATAACTAACTCTTTTTCAGTTCCTTGCTATAATTGTTTGGTTATAAGAATGCTTCCTGTCATTTTTTAATTTGGTTATGTAAAAATGACACACATAAAAGTAGTATCCCTGAGTTCCTTGTGCCACTTGTCCTGGTTGTGTCCCTCTTATATAGATAATGACATATGTTCTTAACACAGGGAAAGTGGGAGGAGAAGAGGTGTGAGGAAAAAATAAAAGGTTCTATTTGAATCTTTTGAGTTTGATATGTCTATTAGACAAACAATGGAAAATATTAAATAGTTTATATCAGTCTAGAATTGAGGAAAAAGTCAACTATTTATACATTATATTTAACTTGATGTGATTGGATAATATTACCTACCAGTTATCTACACAGGGAAAAGAGGAGGAGAGGCCAAATATCTGGGAATCATCAGCACTGGGAGGTTGGACAGAGGAGTAACCAGTAAGGAGGAAGCAATAATGCCTAAGCATGTTATTATTGGTTAGAGAAAAGCCCAAGTGATGTTTTCTGAATAGCAAGGATGTCTAATTTCTCACAAAGCAGGAAAGCCCGGAATTAGTTTGGAAGAGATTCAGTTAACCTATCATCTCAGAGTTGTCATCAGGGAGTTACAGTCTCCCTGCTTTTCTACTCTGACAAGCTGACTCTCGTCCATGTCTGAGCCATCACTGCTTTTTCTTCCCCAAGGCCTCTTTAAAGAGTGAAGAGACTTTCTTGAGAAGATCCCCAGTAAACTCATTTTCCTGTGTCATAGGCCAGAAGATTATTACAATTGGAGCACCCTAAAAGGAATAAAAATCATTGGAGGCAACAGCCAAATAACCAGGGGCTTGAAGTCACACTTTAAGTTCAGGTGATTTCTTCATTCATTCTTTCAACCAATCCACCTGCCAGGCACTGTTCTACACACTCTGAACACAGCAGCGAGCACACCTATACCTTTGCCATGAAGGTGCTACAGTCTGGCCAGAAACATTAAAAACAAATGAATACCCAAGTATATATCAGATACCAATCAGTGGTGCCAATAGATGCAGGCCTGTTATAGAAGACAGTGGCTAAGGCGGGTGAAAGATCACAGGAGTCTAAGAACACCAGGAGGCAGGGAAGGGCTACCACCAGGCTGAGGCAAGTGCAGAGCCTGAGTTATGAACTATAAGGAGGCCCTCACTCTCAGGATTTTGCAGGACTGATTCTGCACTTGCACAAACCTGAGAACATGGGCCTCCTAAAATGCTGACCACAGCTGCCTTGTTAGTCTGTGCCTTGTGTGGCTCTGTCAGAAGATCATTTCTATGAACTTTTCCAATCACATGAGGGACAGGCATAGAGCTAGAGAGAAAGGTAGAGAGCCAAGTGCTGACATTTTCAATAGATGGTGGTCACTGATCCAGGGAGGAAGTTACAAAGGGAGAGAATGTCATTATACAGAAGAGTGACTTGGTCCTAAGTTCCCTCGATCTTCAAAGTAACTAGGTCTATGGGGAGAAAGGAGCTTGAGAATTAGGTTGGGAGTGTCAAAGGGAACCTGGGAGGGCACTAGGGGTGTAGGAGGGACAGGAGTGCTCATGCGATGTGTGTATGTATAGATGCCTATTAATGCTTAAATTAGCTCTATTACCTACACAATTAGGAAAGAGACAAGATGAAAAATCAAATTCAAATATTATAACAGAAGAATGCAGATGTGTGCTGAAAATGACAGTATGTAAAATACGTTCAATTTCATCCTTTGCTACCAGATAAATTATTATTATATCAGTGTGAGGAGGTACGAGGAGGTAAAGAAAGAGAGCAGTTCTTTTCAGCACTCATAGTATTTCTATGCCCTACTTTGGCTTTTTTGTCTTTCAGCCCTCTTGGAACCAAGTAGTATGGGAGGTGGGTAACAAAGAGACGAGGAGATGGTCTTTTGCCAAAATCTATATGTCCAGAGGAGTACTCAAGAAAGGGGACACGATGAATTGTTTCCAGATTTTCCGTTCTTTTGCGATGTTCCTCAAAATAAATCAAGCTTAATATTTGCTGAGCCCAGATGGTTCCTACAAAAGTAATAATTTTTTTATTAATGCATGGCTTTCAGAAAAATATATATAACCAGTTTTCTTGTCAAATAAAGTTTGTTATAACAGTATGATAATTTCATTTATGCAAAATGACTTAAGGCTAATGGAACATATATTGCTTTTCTTTTTCCTTTTAGGATGTTCGATGCAGGTTTCTCACCAGGTTTATCCTTTGATACCTTTTTAAACTTTCTTCTGCTTCATATATGGTACCTTTCAAATTATCTTCTATGCTGACTTGTATATTTTTGCCCTCAACCTTATTCTTGCAGCATTAGCTAAGATAAACACAGACAAAAAGAATTGCAGTGAAGAAGTAACTTTCTATTTTCCCCCTTTCCCCATGTTTACCTCCTGATTGTTGATTAAGGAAATGGTGTTTAATTTTAATACCTGCAAAAGGGCTTTTGACACCAACATGTAGACAGAAATGAAAAGTTAGTAACTGAAGTTTGACCGTTGGCTTGTAAAGGGGACTTAAAAAAAGTATTTAGATTAATTATGATTAGAGGGAACATTTAGTTTCTTATACTTCTTTTGTACCCTTAATTATTTGGATTCAAGATTTAACACATTCCTTGTATATAGGTAGTGTTTCTGCAATTTTCGGTCGAAATGTGTTGAAATGATTGGTTTATGCCACCAAAAAGTCACAAGGTCCAGTTGGATATTTATCAGATTTCCACTAGGAGAAAAAGTATTGCTTCTCAACAATTCTCATCCTAGACCTCAATTTCAAAGACTATTCAATCACCCCTGGTGAGCAGCTGAACCTGGTAAGATCACTGTTGAACATACATCCCTTGATGGCAGGTACAGGTGATATGGACCTTACATGTTCCTCTTACTACCTAAATATTGGTGGCTGTAGTCTTCAGTGTTGCCAGGGAAGACTATGACCACATGTGCCTACTTGCTGTCATATCTGGACCAAATATTCCACTGAAAATTCATTGATATGAAACTCTACAGAGTTTCTTACATTCTTCCTTCTTTCCCAGATAACACATACTGCTTTTAAAAGAGATATCATCTCGTTAAGTCCACCAACTCTGGTATGGGACAGGTTGCCAATGCTGAAAAGAGGTGGCCACAGGTCTGTAGATATTGAAGAACAGGAGACCTGGAAGAGTGTGTTCCCCATGCAAAAGAGTCTACCTACATTTCTTCTCCCTCCTCTCCTTATTCCTTATTCTCCCTCTCTCTCCTCTCCCCTCCTCTGCTCCTTATTCTTCTGTTTCCACTTCCCTTCACCCTCTCCCTCCCTGTTTTTCCACATTTTTGTTCTTACCCTATTAGGATGTCAGATGTTAGAGTAAGGAATCTTCATCTTTCCCTGCACTAAATGACATATTACCATCACTGATTCATTTCAGTCCCTCATTTATCTACTTGTATGTTCCTTTTATTCCCACTTCCTACCTCAAATGCTACACCTACTCCTATCATTGCAACCAGTCAATTGGTTTTAAGGTGCATCTGTTTGCTTGAGTGTATTCTTTTGAGATGTGTACTGTTGTGAGTTCTTATAAAAATCACAGGCATGGAGACTGACAACCTTTTAGGGTTTCCATACTTGAATTTCCATATAGCATGTTGCTTTAATCAAACAAACCATTCTATGACTTAGAGATAATTAAAAATGTTTAGAAATTATTCTGTAATATGATAATTAGTATGCCAACTTTTCTCCTTCTTATGCTCTTCAAATATACGTTCCATCCTTGACTAAATGCTAAATATTCTTGCTTCCTTTCTCATCCTACCTGAGTATTTAGTGTTTGATGTTATCTTAAGTTTAAAAGTTTTAACATTTTGCCCATTCCAATGCCAAGTAAGAAATAACTAATAACGGCATTGTAAGAAACCTATGTCACCAGATATTGAATAGTGAGTTTTCTATTTACAAAGGAGTAACACTATATGGCCATATGTAATACTAGTGAAAAAACTAAATTCTCATAATACAGAAGTATCATTTTATATCTTAGATTAGCTATTGGAATACTGAACTTACCAGATTTGGGGTATGTGACTACGAAGATATCATCATCTCTAATTTCAAAATCATCTAAATTTTCTAAAAAGTCATTATCAAATGCTTTATGGTGAACATAAAATCCTTTAAATTTCAATAAATCTGTTTCTAAATCTTCCATAATGCAGTACCTGCAAAAGACATATAACATTCTTTGAATGAAATTTAGATGAATTTTTATCTTCTTTCCATCAGCATTATTGCCTTCCAGTCATATATTTAGAAAAGAAATTGATTATTTATTTTTTCCATAAATATATATAACATTCTAGACCTATAAACCAATGCTGGGTGTGTGTCACTTGCTCCAATCCCCAGGAGCATGTTGCTCAAGGGTTGGGTCATTGTTTTATGTGTATATGCTCCACTCACATAGCTACAGGGAGGAGAGCTGAAAGTATTTATCATAAAAATTTCAAAAAATGGTGTTATCAGATGTTTGGTATATATTCCATTATAAACAAATATAAGCATTGTATTTAAACAGGTATGAGAAACATTTGTCTGTTGTAGTAGATGAATAATCCTTTATCAGCTGAGTCCTTTATGCTTTTTTTTTATTATTTTGATCTGTAACTGAAGTATGGGGGCTTAGCTTTTAGCAATTTTATAGAAGCTTTTCTTTGTATATTTTCTGGAGTTATGTCCTTATATTTTCTGACAACTTTTTACTAAAATATGATTTTATGTCTTAACTTATTATTTAGAGCAATTGGGATAATAAAACAAGGAAGTCACAGATATAAATATATTGAAGGAAGCCTGGGAAGTTGAAGATGACCAATTAAATTGTCCATAATGAGAAAATAAACATTGGGAGAAAGTAAGAACATGAAATAAAACATTCAAATAGTGGGTCAACATGAAAAGTGATAGAGGGAAGATTTTAAACCAAATCTTGTGAGTCATCATCTCTATATATTTTACCTTGCATTATTTTATTATTTTAATATTGCAAATTATGAAGATTTATTAATTAAGGAGTTCTTCATAGGAAGCTCACCTTTTCTTCTTCTTTCCAATTTGCTAATTATAGGATTGAAATCAAGAAAAGCATAAGAAATGCACAATTTGAAAGCACTTAGCAATTCCATGTAGCTTAGGCAAAGAGTCAGTCCAACAGAAAAGGAAATAAGTAATTTAAAAAATATGTTTAGAAAGAAATACTCTGACTATGTATCTTAATTTTGATAGCTTTTCCTCTAGAATTATATTTATGAAAGATCAAAATTAGTTGGCACCATCAGCATATGTTTCTTGCCAAAGCAAGGAACAGGGAGGGAGGTGGGAAGGAGGACAGCAGAGAGACAGAGACTTGTTCTGTCACTAGAGTTACTTAAAAAGCCTCTTTTCTGTCCCCAAGTGTTAAAGCAAAATGGCCTAATTTTCCTATATTAGAGATTAGATTTGGGCTCTACTATTAATTACTCCTAGAAAGAAGTAGAATTCCATGAAGAATAACCAAATCCATAGCTTAGGATCAGAACAATGAGGATGAAGCTGTGAGATCATTCCCTTATCATAAAGTAAACATAATTTCAGTGCTTTTGGAGTAATGCTAAAGGGACAGAAGATCATAACAAGAATGGCTAGTGACCTAGGAGCCACTATTTGAGTATGAGAAGGCAGAAAATGATTATAATCATCTAGAAAAGTAAACATGATTTGAGGAGCATGAGTTGATGTTGATGGTATTTAAGGAAGGAACACAAATTTAATGTGATGTGCAAGACATTTCCAAACCACTAACAGACATTCCATGACTACCACATGGAATTCTAATCAATAACCAGGTCATCAATTACAGAGTATTGGTTAAATTAGACGATATGCTCAGAGTGCATTTTAAAATGTATGTGCTGTTCAGGGTTCTTCCACCACACTTGGGAGGCTGCACCCTGAATAGCACATATATTTTGAATTGCCTCTATCAAAAAGTCGCAAAATGACAAATGTTGGCATGAATGTGGAGAGACTGGAACACTCTTACACTGCTCATGGGACTGGAAATTAGTACAATTTCTCTGGAAAGTAATTTGGATATACCTCAAAGAGCTAAACATAGAAATACCATTTGATCCAGCAATCCCACTACTAGACATCCACCAAAAGAAAAAAGACATTCTATAAAAAAGATATTTGCACTCGAATGTTTATAGCAGCACAATTTGCAATTGCAAAGATTTGGTTGTGGGGAGAGAATAGTTGAGAGTACTTGAGTCAGGCCCGTGAGATCAGCTGCTTCTCCCCGTGGAGCCGAGTCCCTAAGATAGTGGTCGCCACAGAGGATAAGGAAATTGATAGGCAACAGAGAGTAATAAAAGAATAGACAGAGGCTGAGGTATAATTTATGGTTTTATATATATATATAAAACTATAAACTATACCTTACCCATATATATATATATAAACTATACCTTAGTTTATAGGTATAGTTCTTATGTATAAAAGTTCTTATGTATAAAGATCAGATATAACACAGAGGGAAGTTCCTGTGGGACTGGCAGATCTCCACAACTGCCAGCAATATGGTTAGATTCATACAGATTTTTATAATCACAGACATCAATTACCAGTTGTCAGGGTAACATATTTGTATATCAGGGAATACAGTTGCTAGGGGATACAGGTAGTAGGTTAGGGTCAAAAGTCCTCTCAAGGGGTTTCTAATCTATCTAGGTGAACAAACAGGTACAAAGTCTTCAGGGGCTAGTTTCTAAGTTCTAAGAAGTAGTTGTCAATAAACAAAGGTAAAACAAAAGAGGTATAGTGACTCAATATTTATCTTTGATTAGTTATGGTGAACTTAAAGGTAGACAGAGAGCAGGAAGCCTATCTCTAATAAAACAGATTTATGACCACTGGGGCGCTTCTCTGGGCAAAGTGCACTCATTGTCTCCAGCTCCCATGCTGTGTGCCATGTTTGCCTTGTCTTGTCTTTCAAGACACAGGGAAGCTCACAGATTTTGGGATACTAGGAAGCCTTCCTAGAAAACATCCCTACCGGAGATTTGAGAGCTCTCCCATGATAGCAGCATTTAATAAGTCAACCATTGAGTCCACATATTCCTTCAGGGCAGAACCCTGCAGACTCCTGTTTTTGCCTTTAACATAGTAATATTGGGTTGTACAATAAAATAATTATCTTATGAGCCACATTTCATTAATTCTTCAATCATGTTTTCCCAACATGTGGAAACAACCCAGGTCCCCATCAATGTATGAGTGGATTACTAAAATGTGGTATATGTATACCATGGAATACATCTCAACTACAAAACACAATGGTGATCTAGCACCTCACATATTATCCTGGATAGAGATTGAGCCCATCCTTGGAAGTGAGGTATCACGTGGATGGAAAAACATGGACCACGTGTACTCTCCATCAAACTGGTACTAATTGATCAACAATAAGGTGCTCACATAGTAGTAATACTCACTGGGTGCCCATCAGGTAGATGGGGTCACAGCTAGGGGGTGGAGCGGGTGGGTTGAGTAAACCCACAGCTAATGGAGATGGAGCAGTCTGTATGTGGGAAGGACACTCTTATAGCCCTGGCTTGAGTGAGGCAAATGCATTTTATGTAACCAAAATGTTTTTACTCCCATAATATCCTGTATAAAATGAAATGAAATAAAATAAAATATATGTGCTTAATTCATTAGTTTAGACGGAGGGAGAATGAAGATTATTAACACAAAGAATGTAGAAAATTTATAGTGGCTTTTAGCATTGAGAGAAAAAGTTGTAAAAAATGTGTAAAAGGTAGAGGAATGTGAGGGATTGAATGTTTGTCCCTTGTTATCTTTTCACAGGGTGAAACAACAGTACCTGATGGTCACCAAACTAAAATATGGTTACAAATGCATCTGGGAAAGAGATTGTTCATGATCTGGAATGCCACTTGATTCTGATAGATCCAGTGGATTATGCACTATTATGTGAAGGAAAAAAAATGTACAGAGCAGGCTTTTGGGGAATGCATATACCCCACACCTAAGCCCTACCTGAAGCTAAATTGGATTGGAAGGAGCACAGGGCATGTGACATATGCACGATTACACATTATGGTATTTTGAGGTGTAGAATTAGAAATATTTTCAATCACAATCTTTTAAAATGGCACATTTGGGATTTTAAAATGTTTTTAATTGTCTATTTCTTGATGTTTTAGAAACCAAAAAATATATGAAAGCAAGGGAAATTGCCATTAACTGGAAGTAGCCAAAGAGAAAAAATATTTAAATGTAAAGCAGGTGGTGTAGCAATTAATGATTCTGTAGAGAGTGGCAGGGAGGATATAAATAAACTTTTCTTATTCATTGCAATATATAATGCAAAAAGAAATCTGTCTCAATATTTATGGTAGCAGGAAGACATTGTGTATGATTGCAACAATTGAGCCTTGTTCAGAGGGAATTCACATTTAAAGAGATTGAGGTTACTGAAACCCTGTTTAGAATAATACAGAATGTTGCAATAATAGAAAACTTTATTTTTTTCTTCTAATATTTTTCTATAGCACTAGGATATAATGAAACTAAACAAAATGGCAGAAGGGCAATACAAATGAGTTCTTTTTTCTGAGAAAATGAAACGTCAAAAAGACTCAAAAATCTTGGGAAAAAGTTGACTGTGCTAAGTAGATCAATAGTAGGAGTAGAATAGAAGACAAACAAGCTGGATCTGATATCTAGTTCTACTGTCACATAGAAATTCCACTGCTTTATAATCTAGTTATATATAGAATCTATATGTTTTTTTAGACAGAGTGTTGCTCTGTTTCCAAGGCTAGAGTGCCATAGTGTCAGCCTACCTCATAGAAACCTCAAACTCCTGGGTTCCAGGGGTTCTCCTGCCTCAGCCTCCCAAGTCACTGGGAACATAGATAAGTACCAACATGCCCAACTAACTTTTTCTATTTTTAGTAGAAAGAGGATCTCACTTTTGCTCAGGCTGGTCTTGAATTCCTGACCCAAGTTATCTTCCTGCCTTAGCCTCCCAGAGCGCTAGGATTACAGGTTTGAGCCACCGCACCTCACCTATAATCTATGTCTTTGCCTTAGTAGAGTGTGTTTTTAAATCACTAAATAGATATTTTGGAGCTACATCATTGCTAGGTCTGTT